ATGTCCTTTCACCTTCTCTTCTAATTGAGTCACTCTATAGGTATCACTTGGTAAAACTTGGTAACTATTCTCTTCTTTAACTTCTTCCTTTTTAGATGCTCTCTTTTACCAGTAATTACTTTCTTAGGAGATCTGCCTATTCCCTCATTTATCTTAGATTGCTTTGCAGATGGATTTACATCTTCCCGAGGTTTATTTCCTTTTGCAATATCTTTCTCCGGTTGTCTTTTGTTTTGTTTCTCAACAAACATATTTCCTTTTAATTTTGTTTCTTCAACAGCAAAATTATCTATTACAGTTTCTTTTTGTAAACTTTTTTCTTTCCCTGTATTAAACTCTTTCTCAAGTGCTGTAATTTTACACTTATTACTATATTTCTTAAGCTTTTGATTATAATGCTTTTCTTGAATAGGCTTACATTCTTTAATATCATTGATGCCATCACTTCTAGCTTCTTCTTTAGGATACTTATTTTCTTCACTTGTATTCTGTTTAATGATTTTCTTTGAAGTCCCTTTCCTTTTCAGCGATTTTCTACCTTTGGAATTAGTGACTTTTACAGTATTTGTATTTTCAAACTTTCCATCATTGTCCAGAGTTGCTGCCTTTTCATCGTTGTAGTTAGTGACTGGTATCACTGTTTCTCCCTGTATTACTTCCAATAATGAGCCCAACTTATCTTCCGATCCACTTATTAAAACATAACCGTTATTTATTTCATCAGTTTTAACTTTCACGAAATTAATCGTATTACTTTCGATTTGAGTTTCTTGGGAAGCCTTCAGTTTAATTCGCGGAGTGTTGCTATCATTTTGCAACTGTGAAAATGGGCAGTCATTAGCATAGCGTATGTGTAAGGTATTACCTATCTTGGCGTATGCAATATGCGGTAAATCAATCCATGTTCGACCAACTACTAAGTCGCATGGTTGCGTTTCATCTCCTACAATTAGAACTGTAATGTCCTTTCCTTCCACATTATCAATCTCTAAGTCAACAGTTACTTTTCCCAATTTCTAGCGGCTGGTTTATTCTGGTTCCCAAAGCCAAACAATTCCTCCACATCAGGTTTTATAATAAGATTCAGTCTCTTAGCCGCAGACTGTTTCAATAAACATGAACTAGAACCCGTATCTATGATTGCAGTAATTTCTTCTCCATTATTGATGCGAGCATACTTTAAATATACAGCTGGTGAAACACCTGAATTCTGGTCCACTGATAAATAATTTTTAACATTTGTCAAGTCTGGATTCTTAGACGTACACTTTTTAAAAGTATGACCCTTTTCATTACATTTCCTGCAAATAATTTATTTTTTAAGGCTGTCAGGACAATCCGTCGCTATATGTCCATAATCATTACAATTAAAGCATTTCGGCTCACCCTTTTCATTGCGGATGCCAGAATTATATTCCCTTTTCCTTTCGTCTGTTTTATAAAATTTATCTCTCAGATTGGTATTATTATCAAAACTGTTTTTAAAACCCACTTTGAAATTACCATCTGTTTGCATGGAATCGTTAACATTTCTTTGTCTTGAATACTGATTATAGGATCCTTCATAAAATTTAGAACCAGATTTGGGCTTAGAATTATGCCTAAAAGTTTTATTTTCTACTTGAAGTACTTTTATTCCTGCCCGAATATTTTCATATTCATCTAGTTTTTCAGCCAACTCTTCAGGATTAATGAATTTAGACCAATCATCAATGAAATGGTCTCGGATAGCAGCGGGGACCCTCTTCTTTAATTGATCAGTAATAATAAGTTGTTTTAAAGAGTCAAAATCTGTTACATTTAATCCAGCAAGTCACTCTTCAAAATAATTTTTTAATTCAAACGTGAAGTCCTTCCACATATTACGCAACGTTTTAATATGATCAACGAACTTTTGCCGAAACTGTTCAGGGCTTAACTTAAATTTTCTCAGTAGCAGTTGTTTAAACGTGCTTATACAGTCGTTAGCTTTCTCTTCTGATTCACGGGCAATTAATTGAGTTCTTATTCACGGGCAATTTATTTCATAAGGCAATACACCCAACAGCTAAGAAATCCCAGTTTTGTTTCTTCTAACCCAATACGTCGTGCCTGTCTCTCAAATAAAACTAAATAAAAACTTATATCACCTTCATTCAAATCATACTTATGCATGAATTTACTCATATCACAAATATTACTTCTACTAACATTAGAAGAAACAGAATCATTTACATTACTACTTCTGATTTCCGCTTCCATTTTTAATTTTTCAAGTTCAAAAGTTCTTTGCTTATCTCTTTCTATAATTTCCATTTCAAATGCTCTTTGCTTATCTTTTTCTATAATTTCCATTTCAAATGCTCTTTGCTTATCTTTTTCTAAAATTTCTAACTTTTCCCTGTCTAAATGATCATTTATAATTCTATCTAGCATTTGTTTAGTAAAGTCTTCGTTATAATTCTTACCATTCAAAATCATATCTCTTAAGCCTACAATTTTAATATCAGAAGGGACATCTATCTACATCCAAGTTCCAAAGCAAGTTCTTTTAAATCACATTTTTTGCCTCTTGCCAAATAAGCCATCTTAGACTTCAATTTTCAAATACTAATACAATAATTATACTTAAGTTCTTTCCGTTTAATACTTAGACATAACATAAACAGTTTATAAATTCACGTACCTTTCTACTTTCAGTTTTGGCAAGTTTCCACATTCAGTTTAGGCTTAGCGTACGTTAAGGCAATACGTTGTTAAATCTAGATAATAATTCTAGTTTATCCACTTCTGAAATGTTAACATTTAATTAGTTCCTTTATTAAAAACACATTCCGTCAAACATTAATTGTTAAATACTTGCTTTATTCAGAAACATTACCGTCAACATTACTGCTCAAAAACATTACAGTTCAAAATATTATCGTCCTGAAAAAAACTGTTGTTGCCAATCGGGAAAATACATTTTAAAATAAAATTAATACGTTGCGTTTACAATAGTTTTGACAGATGAACATTTTACTGTAACTTTGCACGTATATCCAGTTTACGGACAGACACTGACTAATTAAGTAAGCAAAACCAATCCCTGTCAATCAGACAGTATAGTGGTTAGGGAAGCCTACTGTGGTATCGAAGGCCCCAGGTTTGAATCCCAGGAGAAAACATGGATATTTGTAAATGTATAGTGTCTGTGTGGCATAGGGGCACTCTAACTATATGGAAAGCTGAAAGTCCTCTCTTGTGGTTTGGTGGAAGTGCAGAGAGGGGAAAGACCCCCTGGGATGCTCTCCCTTAAAATTGGGATGCAGAATATTAGTCCAACCTCTCTTTGGAGAAGGCTCTGGCAACCATTCCTCCATGTTATATGGGCAAAACAACAACAAAAGCAATCCTATTGTATGTGCACATATTCTCAAAGAAAATATCACAATTTGGTGCTTTTCCATTATGCATCCACCACGCATTTTGGCGCTTGTGAAAGAGAAGCCAAACACACAGCGAGACCCAATCATAATGCCATTTGGGGGCCACATCATTTGTGTATAACTGTGCGCTTAATTTAACACATTTAATTGTGTTTAAAATAATTTTTAGAGTATCAAATTGCAAACATTAAATTCATAAGTGAATCAACTTGGCCTCGTAAATTAGAAATAAAGCCAACTCTAAGATTTTCAGGATTAAATCTGTCCCTGCCCTTCAGATCCAGATAATTTTTTTATATTAAATTACTTTATATTTTACTTATTCCAAAACACGATACATTCAAAGGGGGGGATGCTTGTTTAACCCTTTCGCGCCGACTGTCACATATACGTGCCAGCAACGAACACACTTATCTACCAGCCGACACGCAGGCGTGCCAGAGCATTGTTGCATTCTCTACCGACTGTCACGTATTTGTGCCAGTACCTTGGAATGTTTTTCAAACTATAATTTCTGCCACAAGATGGCACTGTATGTCCATATGGTTTCAGATACATGTGCATTAGACCTTCTACTTGAAATGAGAGAAGCATGACTCGCATACACGTGTTTTTGATTATATAAACCAACGGGGAACTAAATGTTTCCGAATGGCGTGATTTACGACGTCTCTTTAAACCGCACTTTATTCGCACGTGGTAGTTGTTTATTGTAAGTAGAAGTTTTATATGTGCTAAAGCGTTGAGTATTTCCGTTTACAGTTCAGTTTTTAGAAAATAATTAGATCTTGTTAGACATGAATTCTTTCTGTTTTTACCGTTTCAATGTCGAAGCGGAAAATGTTTAACAGAGCACGAAATAGCAGAAATGATGCAAAATATTTCAGATGTTGATTCTGAAATTCTGATATTCTGATATTGATTCTGAAAGATTAACTGAAAGACATTTTCCAAAACTTTGTTCAGAAGAGACTGATAAGAAAATGAGACGACGATGCTTCGTTTGTTAACATTCCCGGAAAAATCCTCGAAAACGGCAAATGAGTTATTACGAATTCAAGGAATGTAATGTAGGACTGTGTGTAGATCCCTGTTTTAAAATTTTTCATACGAAAGAGAATTTTAAGTAATATATTTAGTTTTCAGATTATAATGTTAAAAAGTCATAAAATGGTGAGTAATTAAAATAAAATGTGTAAAATATGCATTTAAACAAGAAATAAGGTAATTAAAGTATATATATAAAAATATCTATAAAGCATAAGCCGTTTAAATACTCTATAGAGCATTATTAAACAATGCGTTGATACTTCGGAAATTTCATAGATTAGGCTTAGTAGCAAAAAAGCCCCCAGCCCTGGAGAGACGCTCGCGGAAGATACTGCCAGCCTCTGCGATAAGCGCGCATTTTCGCTACCCGGCTCGAAGGGGTTAATATTTTTCTGAATAAAATATAATTGACAATGATACACAAAAATAAAATGAATCTGAACTAATTTTTAAGTAATTTGTTGTATCATTCAAGAGTCTTATATGAATTATCCCAATTACAAAACTTCAAGATAAATAAAAAATAAATAGCTATTTTCTACATAAAATAAGAAAACTAAATTTATTGAATATTGAATAAAATCTTTAGGCAATGAAAAATTACATTTAAATAAAATTTTGAACATGATTTAAAATTATAAATTATAAGCATTAGTTATGTACATATATTACAATACAGAACACATTTGTTCGATTTATCAATCTCAGATCACAGCAAGAATTGATGAATACAGCATGAAGACTAAGGAAGACTTTAGAAGTAAATAATAACCAAAGAAATAATATTACACTACATTAATTAAAACAAAGTTTTCACTACCTGAATGTGAAGAATAATATAAAAGATATTTGGAGAACTAATATGCAATAGCATTAAATGTACCAAAGATTTAATCACTTAGTATTGTCATTTATACTCATCAATATAAACCCTTCCCTTTCATTTTTTTATCATTTAAAAAAAAATTTTTTACATATAAATTATAAAATAAACTATTAAACAAATAAGATATGCTCCATAAACATATTTTAAGAATAAATCTATACATAATCATTCATGTTAAGAGAATAAAATACAAAATTTAAAGAAAACGATTTGTATTATCAATTAAATCCTGATCATTGACATAGCAACTTTATATTTACCTATCCTATATAGCAAGAATGCTTCCCGTGTTATAATTCTATGAACGTTAAGTTACATTTTAATTTCTTATTAATTCTCATGACATAAAATAAGAGCTTTATTATTATTTTTTTTAATATTTACATTATTTTTGGAGATAAATGATATTAGATAAATATATCTGTACTATATCTCTTTTGATAAATTGTAATAAAAATCAATACATTATTCAAAATTATTTAACATTAAAGTAATTTCATATTTTAAAGGCAGTGACTTCAAACATTGAAAACTGATACGACAAAAACAATGACAAATGGAAAATTTGCTTTCAACTTGAAATGTAAAAGTAGTTGGAAACTTTTAGTTTACTTTACAGTATCTCAGTCTTTGTCCCCACACACAAAAATATAAAGACAGTAAAAAAATAATTTTAAATACTTCAAATGTGTTTAACTACATATATTTATAATACTCATTGATAAAAATTAAATACTGATTTTGATTTATTAAAAAATTTTTAAGTTTAAAACATACAGTTATGCTTCCATAAATTAACTGGTAAAGATGCTTATTTAACATATGGTGAAAATTTAATAGCACTAAAATATCTTAAAACACCAAAAAATAACAAAGCAATGAATTTTCATTTCCATGCAAGAAAGGAAGAACTATGATAACAAGTTTCTAATCTTATACACATGCAAAAATGACACAGAACAATATAATTCTATTTAAGAAGGAAGGAAACATCACTGGAGAATTTCTTTTGCATTTTTAAAATTGTTTTAGAATTATATGTTCACAAGACAAAAAGCGCAACAGACTCATAAAAAAACTGTAAATATAGAGCTAAAATATAGCTTCATGCAGAGTCATGCAATGCTTATACAATCAAATTTTGTCATGCAAGTCACTGAACATCATGACGATAATGCATATTTATGGAAGATATTTCATTATTATCAGTTGATTTATACATTTCAGGGCCTGGGCTATCCAATGAAGTCAAGTGTAAATCATATGGTTCAATTACATATCGTCCAATCACCTTTAAAAAAAAAGAGAAAAATTTAATACTGATGGATAATACATTAAAATTAAGATACTTTACACTACAGCAGATTAATAACAAGCAATTAATTGTTTTTATAGCACTTAATAGTTTAAAATCATATTCACAGCTGACTATGCATTAAAAAAGAACAGTCACCTAAAATAATACTTTTAAAGAGTCCAATTAGCAATTAACAAATGTTGGTAAAGAACTACAGTTATTGCTTTTTAGTTGCTTGTTTCATCAGTTAGTTTGGCATATTTCTTTAAAATCACTGAGCTTTCTGATTAAAGTTGAAATAAATATATAATATTTTGCCAAGTAGCAATGTGTTGCATTTTAACCAATTAACATGCAAATAAAATAAGTGTCCGAAGAATACCATTTAATTTGGACACTCATGTACAAGCTTAAAACCAGAATATTTTATTTTGAAATTTGTTATATAACAATAATATACTGCATACTGCGCGGCGTCCATAGAAGACAGTTTTTGACGTCTCGGAGACATCAAAGTCTACAATGGCACATGAAATCAATGACATCCCATGGATGTCATTGTATGTCAAAGGGTTAATCATTACGTTTGTTAATCAAAATGTCATTAAATTTGTAGAAAATATGAAATAAATTTTAAAAAAATTAAATTCAAAATTCTGGTTTTGAAGTGCACATGTTGAGTCAACAACTATCGGTGCTTGAAATTTGATGGCTCTACGAGCTACCGTTTTTTTAAACAGCGTGAGGAAAATATGTACATACATATAAATTCTTCTAGAGATAATTGCTAAATTTTTATCTTAAAATTATGTTTTAAGTTCAGTTTAGGAATATGACGAAAAGTATATAATGCACTTATGCATCCATATTAGATCTGTGTAGGTCAGTGGTTCTTAACCTTTTTTTGCCCTATGCCCCCTTTTCTCTACTGCAAGATGATCATCCCCCCTCATTTCAAAACTTAAAAAAAAAAAAAAAAAAAAAAAAAAAAAAAAAAAAAAAAAAAAAATGCACATATATGTATTTAAATTATTTTTATAAAATAAACAAGTATAGAAAATGCTGATAAATACTAAAACTTGCATAAAAGTAGTTTTTTTTACATTCATAAACTAAAACTAAATATTTAACAGATAAGTAAAAGGCTAACCACATTCCCCTCTGAAACTCTAAAATCCTCCCTATGGCAGAATTCACTGCTAGTTAAGAACCCCTGTCTATGTGAATGATAGAATTATACTTCACCATAACCACTGCTTTACACAAAAAGTACTCAGGATTTCCAATGCATAATGAAAAGGTTTGGAATCAAGTGAGAATCCATTTACCATCTCTGTTATTTGAAATTCCGTGGAATCTACTAAACACAATTTAGCAAGCATTTTTTAAACTCTGGACTTCAGTTTTCTAAGTGCAGGGATAGTTAGCAAGATGACACCCACAAACTAGTGTAGGATTCCTCTTACCACGTAGCCACAAATCTGGTAATGTACTGTTATATATGGTAATGCAGTGATTCCCAAACTTTTCCGAGTCATGGTGTCATTTTCAATTAAAATATTTCCATGGCGCCCTTCCCTGAGTAAAAACGTGACTAATCATATGTAAGATATAAAAAATAAAGAAATAAACAAAACTCTTGTATCTTCATTATTTATTTTTTTTCACTTTACTAATATTAAATTAATAATCAGTGTGATAGGTGAGCCTGCAAATCACTGCACATTTTTTCAAATCGTGGAGATAAACTGGAGACATCCACCCACATTTCCATTTCCATGTTAATTTTTTATCTATACTTGCTTTTTATTATAGCAACTGTTGAAAACCAAGCTTTGCACAAATACGACGTTGAAAATGGGATTAAAATTTGCTGACCCTTATCACTTAGAAGGGGATATTCATCTGTTATAGAAATCCAAAATTCTGTCAATTTCATACTGCCAAATTTTGCTTTCAAACTGTTGTCATGAGATAACTTGATAAGATTCTCCTCCGCAAAAGTAAATTCAGATGGAGCACTAATGTTAACAGGATTCGTACACATTTCTGCACACGGAAATTAAAGACTTTTAAGGACCATTAATGAAAAAAATTGAGGACCTATAAGCAAATGGGAACTGAATAAATTCAATTAAAAATATTATCTATGCTGAAGTTCACTTTTTTAACACCATCCTAAAAATAAAATAGATCCATAAGTAGGATGCGTTATTATTAAACATAATTAACATAATTATTTGAGAATAAAATCAACTTTATGACATTTATCAAGTAGCATTAAATATTTTACACTCATAATAATTGGACATATTTGAAAGAAGATAAGTGACATTTTATTTAGGTTTGAAAGAAGATAAGTGACATTTTATTTAGGTTTTACTAATAGTTAGTTTTATGTTGATTTTTTTAATGTCTCATTTTGTCACATACTTGCTCAGTCTACGGGTTTAGTAGATAGTCAGTAGATTTTATGTCAAGGTTACAATGAGAAGTAAAACCACAATCAGCATGATTCAAAACAAAAGACTGGCAGTTGTTGCCACTCCTGCTTGCCTAGAGAGAGACCTGCTGATCAGAACAAACCTGGAAGGCCTGATATAAGCACGGTTCACAAGTTTTGAAAGTTAGCTGGGCTCTGTCTGATGCATTTAGTGTCATAGCTTCTTGTAGAGTTCCAGGGGTTGTACTCAGTTAACATACTTTATGGTTCTAATTATCCACTAAAGCACTAGAGGTAATAAGTTGTTTTGCATTTTAAGTCTCATTAGATGCGAAGAATAGGTTTTACATGAATTTTTACATTTTTGACCACAATAAGGATTAATGAAAGTCAATAACTTGCTTTAAAACGTAGAGATAATTTTTAACGGTAACCAGTTAGTTATAAGTAATTACATTAGATATCAGATAACCCTAGTCATTAGAATTACATGGGCACTATTAAATTTTATTTATTTTTTAACAATATTTGTTAAAAAAGCCCTATTAAAATCACAATCTAATAATATTTCACAGTTTAAAATACATGTAATTTATGACATAAATTTTTAAACGATATTAGGATAATTGCACATTAAAAGTTACAAAATATTTATGTTTTGTAAGCAACAACACTCAACAAAATATTTATGCATCTTTTTAATTTGAAGCCTTCCCAGACATTTTGGCAAATTTATATCAATTTCCTTCTCTTTAAGCAACTTTTCTAACAATTAGTTAAATCCTAACCTGTCAACCTCTCCAAAATGTACCTATGAGGGTTTACTTGATCAGGTAAAAGTTAAAACAGTCCAAACCCCCTCCGGACAGATGTGAAGCAAATTATCGCTATGTCTGAAAGTAACTACAAAGTCAGACAAAGGTTTAACTAAACTTCTTATTTAAAAAGAACTTAGAACATAAAGGCATGTTCTTATGCTAACAAAATCAGTTACAGTTCGTGGTGATGTAATTAAACAAGAAGAATCAAATTGAAACTAAAAATACGGACTATGGATTCAAACTAAAAATATGGAACAAAGACTATACAATTTAATTTCATCATAATTGTCAGAACAAATTCAAATGTCAGCAGCGGTAATGTAAAGATGAATAATTATAAATTATCAGAGCTGGCAGGAACTAATTCAAATAGCAAGTGGAAGTTGGAAACACACTCTTGTCTTACACTCCAAAAACCTCAGGTTAAAAACTGTGTAAGTGACTTGCATTCTGGTCAGAAAATAGAAATGGGAAATTATAGTACAGGCTGAAATTGTAAACAACTGGGTAGTTAACATAATAATATTTCTATCTATCTTTGAAGAACAATTTTCCTTTCTCTTAATGTATTCAGTTTCTTTCTTTCACGTTTCCTTTTCGTTTCAGAATTTTTAGATTTACTTAAAGATTTCTGTTATTCTAATAACACTAAATGTATTTAGAATGTATAGAGAAAGCTGCTAATTTTATTTTTTAGACTTTAGCGATACACTGAGAACAAAATCTAGAAATGTCAAAAACTTTTAGAATTAAGAACAGGCGTTGGAAGCAAAATTTAGAAAGGCACCAGGCAACAGAATTTAGGATCCACAGAGATTGCATCAGGTGGGAAAATGCCTAGCGCCATCCCTGTGTATGATGCATTAAGACATATTAGATGGACTGATTAAATTGCCAGTTTTCAATTTCTTTATTAATTAAAAAATTATTTTCTATACTGCCATGTCCATATGATAAGATAAGAAGCATTTTTGATATTTTCCATGCTTGCGTTTAATGAAAAGTAGAGAAAATAAAGGGAAGATAAAAATGTTAAGAAAAAGATTCTAGTATCAGAAGTAAAACATTCAACTATTATGTTTTCATTGTTCTTCCAGACGTTCTCTAAAAAGTAAGAAATTATGTATTTATACCATGGAGACATTTTTCATTTCGGCACATTTTTCTGGAATCTTCCAGAACCATGGGTCTATAAAGCTTGCCTTCAAATCTTTCTGAACTTTTCTAGCTGCAATGTCTAAAATCATACACAAAAATTACCCTTACCAATTCGGTAACAGCAAAAAGCCAGAAATATTTTGAAAAAAAATCGGAGGAAAAAAATGTAAAAATAATTTTATAGAGAAAACTGATACATATTCTGAGAATTCTGAATATTCTGAGACAATTACAGGAAAAACTCTTACCATGAAAAAACTAAAAACATTTTTAATTAATTACATAGCTATTTTGCTAAGAACTGTTTCGTAAATTATGCTTTAAGTGGCCAAAATGGAACTATAATATGACAGCAAAAAATAAAAATGCTTTACTTTAATGTTATTTTTTTAATATAATTACATTACCAATATTTTAATGAAATTTATCAATGTTACAATGTTCTAAAAAAATCGTCGAAAATTTCTCAGATCTCGGAATTAAAAATTTTCCATAAAAACTGATCTTAAAATCCTCAAAATGTTGATAAGTCGCCAAATTTAGAGCAATTTAATAAAAGAATTCACATCCCA